CTACACGCTCAAGTAGCGCGGTAGCATGTGGTGGGTTGGCGAATTTCCAGTTCTTGATTTTGTCTTTGTGGGAATCTTGGTTTTCTTGCCTTCTGTTTTAATGAAAGTTTATAAGTTTGTAAACGTTGGTAATTTGGGTTTTCCATTTTCAAAAAGAAGCATGCTTTTATTTTTTGATCTGTTTTTGTTTAGATGCAATGTTTACATATAACAGATCCAGAAGAAGGGTTTTAAAGTTAGGTTTAAAAAATGTTGAAACTCTGTTAATATAATTAGGAAATGTGAAGCTGGATTGAAAATTTTCTGCAATTTGGTAAGGTTTTGATTGCTTGTTGTTTTTGGCTTTTTCACTAATCTTGCAACCTGCAAAACTTTAAATCTCTATGCTGAACCTGATTCGAACTTGTGTATGATATTTATATAAATGTAACGGCTTTTCTATGCGGGTACAAGTAGGAAAGTAAAAGGCAATATGTAACATCGGGCAGTGAGAGAATAAATTCATTGTTGATCTTGTTAACCTGTCAATGTTCCATTTGATGTTTTAAAAGTGGCTGCCAGGGGGTTTAGTTGACTACTTCTTTTGATGCATGCCTTGGATTGATTATATAGAAATTTCATGTCATTTGAATATGACAAGGCATCGATGTTTTCTATGCAGTCCAATATTCTCCATCATGTTGTGTGATTTTCTTGGGGTCTAGCTTGGTTTCAGCCTTGTATCCTGAACATATCCATTGTTGTCACTAGTTTGCATATAGGAAGAGTTTAATGGATTCTTGGGATGCTGCAGGGGTTACAAGCGTTTTTTCAAGAGAACTTCTCTGGAGACGTCAGACTACCTTAAAGATGACTGCTTGTCAGTAAACTGTATGGTTGGTGTTGTGAAGTCACACACGGAGGGGCCAAAAATATACTCCATCCCAGTACCACCATCCAGCATGGGCCATCAGTTTGGGCGGCTACTGGAAAGTGGAAAGGGAACTGATGTAAATTTTGAAATTGACGGTGAAATTTTTGCTGCTCACAAGTTGGTACTAGCAGCTCGATCACCTGTATTCAGGGCCCAACTATTTGGTCCTATGAAGGATCAGAACACTCGGTGCATAAAAGTTGAGGACATCGAGGCTCCAGTCTTTAAGGTTTGATGCATTTCTTCTTTTTCCTTGGTTGGTTATGTTATACATTTGTTTAACTAATGCTGATCAATCTTTGTACTTTAGATAGTAAATTGGTTACCATATTTATTTGCAATTGTATCAGTTTGTCAGGCATGTTGCATAGACATTGTCATCCAGGAGTATGATCTCATGCTTTTTGTGCTTTAGCTGCAAATCCTGCCAGATGCTAGTGATCAAATATGCATTCTAGGATGATTTTTTTTTATTTTTTATTTTTTGCTTTGTTGCTTGTGCAGAGTGGTTATAAGTGGTAAAACATGGCCTAGTGTGAAGTAATAAGTTTCAGTTTTCATGGAGAACTCCCTATTTGGGTTGTATTATTATGCTTTCTGCATAATGCTTATTCTCTTTCATTACAAATTTAAGCTAGGTTGGCTATGCGGTTTCTGCTCTAATTCTTTTTTTTCTTGTGCTATCGTGTGAACTGTAGAATTGTTAATTATAACCATCCACCTGGGAATTGTTTCCATGGATATTATTGGCTTTGTTCTCACTTTTCAACTGTTTTTCCACTCATCCATTTTGTCCTTGTGCAGGCTTTGCTTCATTTCATATACTGGGACTCTCTGCCTGACATGGAAGAGCTTACTGGAATTAACTCCAACGGGTCTTCCACTTTGATGGCGCAGCATCTGCTTGCAGCAGCAGATCGGTATGGCTTAGATAGACTTCGGTTGTTATGTGAGGCAAATCTCTGCAAAGATGTTGCGATAAACACTGTGGCAACGACATTAGCATTGGCAGAACAACATCACTGCTTCCAGCTGAAAACTGTGTGTCTCAGATTCGTTGCAACACCTGGAAATCTATCAGGTGACTCTTTGCTCCATCAAGCTTTGTTTTACAATGTTGTGTAATTTGAAAAAGCGAACTGTCATCATCTAGGCCCCAAATGAGATTGTTGATGATGATTATGCATGATGATTTGGTTATATGTGGATGACTCTAAAAACTGTGGTAGAATCGTAATCAAGATTGGAGAAATTAATTACTACAATGATCTATGTATTGACTTGTCTTTCTTATTCCATTGAAGTTTTTAATTTGTATTCAGCTGTAATATGTGTCCTTTTTTCCATTGACGGTTATATGAATTAATATGTTTCATGTTAGTCCAGATGGTTAGTTTAAACTATAGCCCTCAAGGTCTAAGGATCCGTGTTTCATAACCTGTCATGTTAGGCTTTACCTATCATGAGAGTAGTACTTCCTCTTGGCCCTTTGGAAGGTCATTTGGTACTTGATTATACTTCCATCATTGGCCATTTTACTTATGGATACATAAGCCTTTGAAAAGGGTTGTCAAAATTGGCTGAGATAGCAACAAAACAACCCACTCTGTATAGTGATATGTGGTTTACAATTGAAAACAACTAGGGTATTTTGGATCTTGTTTTTTACTTGGGACTTGGTGTAATTACTGGCCACATGAATTCTCATCTTCCATTCTTCCGTGTTATGTACAGTGTGTCTCTTGTTAATTTTTTTTTTTTCTAGACCTTTTTGTTTTGCTTCTTCTGATGCATTGGTCTTTGTTTGATTTGTGATTCCTGAATATAAATAAATGCGAATGTTATGTAAGTAATTCTTAATTATTTTATTTTTGTTTTGCAGGTGTGATGCAAACAGATGGTTACAAACACTTGAAGGAAAGCTGCCCGTCTGTTCTGACTGAACTCTTGGAATATGTAGCTAGAGTTAGTGAACATTCTGTATCTCTATGCAGGCATGGGAATGAAGCTATTCTTGATGGTAGTGACATCAATGGCAGGCGGGTGAAGCAAAGGCTATAGTGAACTGAGCTTTTCAAACATCTACCATGTAGAAAAACAAAATGGAAAGAAAGATAGAGAAAAGTGAGGAGAGAGATTATTTCTAGGTTTAGAAATAACTACTAGTTTTTTAGGCTTGTTATTCGAAAGGATGTTGATGTCTCTGTTGGCTTGTAATTGAACGTTGTAGTACTTACTGTTTTGATTGAGAAAAAGAAAAATTCAATTCCCTGGTTTGTGCCTCTCTCTTTCTCCGTGTTGAAGTTGTAAAACTTACTGTTTTCTTGATATAGAACAAAATTCAATCCAATAAACAAAGACCACAAACGTATTTGTAAAATGTATTAAATTGACAGTCAGCAGCAAACCCTACCCTCAGATTGCCCTACAACTCTGTTTTGATGTCTTGAAAACTGGTGCAATTGAGCAGACAGTTTGTCCTTTAACCCCTTTTTTGCTGCGGATTACCAATGCTAAACAACTGTACCTCGCCTATCCCAAATTAATTTCTAACCCCTCCCTCACGCTCATCTACTTACCTCTGCGGTTAGTATAGAAGTCAACAGATGCACAAGCCCTGATAAAAAGTCCAAATCCAAAAAATAGACCGAATAAATTACAAAAATTGCTTTGGCCTTTGGCTTCACAAACACAGCTTAGTGAAACCTGTTTTGATTTTTTATTTATTTTTGCCATTGAAAAGAAAATGTCAATAGTCTAATAAATGGAAATGAATCACACAATTTCATTGATAAATTTTGGTGCATCAAAATGAATGCTGGCCGCTTGTTGAAGTAAATCTAATACAAAGAAGATATTTGCAGCAGCACGGAACTTATTAAGAACAAGAATTTCAATAATCTTCCAATTGTTAAAGTGGAAGCTGAAGAAAGATTGTGGGCACCAATAGTGTCAATTCCCCCTGACTTCTCATCTCTCACTTTGATGCTTGAAGAGCAGTTGTAATCCATCCACCCAATTTCCTGATTCTCAAGATCATAAATGACTAGCTTATTTGAAAGCACTAAATCTCCCAGAAGGGTCATGGAATCTCCATTTCCGGATTTCATCCCACTGCTCTGCCAACCAGAGCACCAAACATCATCCTTCAACTGGAACAAATAGTCACGAGGATATACCGTCATTGAAGCCGAATTCTTGAAATGGAACTTCACCACTGGAAATCCATCATCGACACTCTTGGAATACTGGAAACATTTGAATTGCTCATCAACTGTATGTAATTTCAAGTCAGGCTGACTTGCAAAGATCTTGCTCATGACTGGTTGATAAACCTCCTCTGGAAGATAAGCCAAGGTTGTACCACTGTCAATTATTGTCCCTTCCTTGTCTCCAGTGTCAAATGTATCTGTGGGAAGTTGTACCACATCGCCACCCACCTCAATTGCCTCCATCGCAACATTGTAATGTGCCTGCTTTGGCACCAATGGAGTTGTATTCTTCACTTTTGGCTGCACCACTTCCCCAATGGCAAAAATCCCACCTCCATTTACATTGTCCAGGCAATGTGCAAATTGTTTTCTGACCTTTCCAGATGCAGCCAGCTGTGAAATCACAGATGAATTTGCCTGCCCAAAACCAAGTATCCCATCAAGTGCTTCAGAAGACTTACCTAGCTGCCCAGATTGTCTAGCTCCACAACCAAATACCATACTTCCATTTGTTCTTTCATCAAATTCAATATTGTCCTTCACAAAGTAACCAGCTGTTGCGCTTCCATCTCCATAAGTCACATCATATTCGCAGAGCAAGGTTGGCCTGCAACCAGGGAGCTGACCACTGTATTTGGATGTGCAAAAGTCTTGATCACATGTAACAGGTTGTGACGTTGAAGAGCTCTTTGGATCATACAATGTGAGCTTCACACCAATATCACTTTTCTTGGGACAGTTTGTGCAGTCAATACAATTGACCCATAAAATGTCACTTCCTGTATCGACCTGGACAAAATAGTCCTTTGAAGGTGAACCAATCCCAAGTTTGGTGAAGTAGAGGCCAGTGTCGGAAGGATGGCCATTGCCGCCTATTTCCAGATCCACAGCAGAAGTAGAGCCTGAGCCTGCAGAGGCTAGAATTCTACCATGGCGGCGAGCATCATGGGCTTTCAATGCACTCAAAGACCGCTGGCCCTTGAACTTATGGTGCACAGGGAACACAAAGTCACCTGACGCATCCAGAACCAATGTGAAAAGAACCAGTATACAACCCAATACAGCCCCTCTTGTCGTTTTCCCAAGATCCATTGAAATTGCCCAACAAAGCAGGAGCCTTTAACGCTGCTTTTACAAAATTGATTGAGGTTGAAAACAACCCAAAGACTCAATTTTGATAGGCGAGAAAACTGAAGCTACAAGATCTGATTGGACCCAACGGCAAAAGAAGCTGTTTTGGGACAAATCCCAGATTGAAAAAAATTCGTAGCTTGAATTCTGAGGCTTAGAGATGTGGGTTTTGTTGAAATTGTTGAAAATTCATTGTCGAGTTGGGTGGAGAAAGAACAAGGTCGGTGAAGGAGGAGGGAAAAGCATGTGTGAAGAGAGAGGAGAGGGAAAGCCAGATAAAAGAGAAGAAAAAAGCGCAAAGCAAGACGGCAAGAGAGACAGAAAGACAGAAGAGAGAAGACTCGGACGAGAGAGTTGCGCGTTTTGAACGTCAAAGATTAACACTAATCGATCCATTAGTTCGTTCATCTCAACTTTAATTGAAAGTACCAGTCAACATGCCAAACCAACAAAATAAAATTAAAAAGAGAGATAATAACAAAGTCAAGAAATAAGCATCTATCCAAAAGACACCACCAAATTACAACAATTTATTTTTCTGTATATTTGGAAACGACGTTCAACAACATTGAAATTGCCAATTGGGTTTTTCGTGGGAATTACGCAGTTGCCACGTTCTCTCTTTCTTTCTTCTTTGGTTTTTTGTTATTTTCTTTTTGGCCGGCCGCATTCTTTTCTGGTGAAATAAAGACTTGGTAAAGAGGACCAACTTTTCTCCTCAAATACTGTCTTTTGAGTTCGTGAAAAACGAGGACGAAGTTTGATGGTAGCTACATGTCCTCTGTGCGAGGACTTGGCTGACTTGGATAGGTGTAATCAAAGTGTTCCTTGTTTTTGGCTTAGGTTAATACTTATTTCAAATCAAAAAAACAAAATCTCCAAAATCAACGGTGGAGATGAACTCTATCACAATTTTTATGCAAATAACACTAGGGTATTCTATTATCCTTCAACAATATTTTAGAAAAGCCAAATAGCTTCTCAAGCCTTCCCAAAGGAAGCAAGTTTAGCTCTTACATAAGTCTAATTCAACAACAACACTATGCTATTATCTTATTATTCCTACTTTTCGTGCTCATCATCGTTATTGGTAACTGATTAACTGATATAATCTGATGGTAAGCATTTCATCCGCCATGATTATCTTTACTTGACATGCTGAGTAAACCAGGCCAACAAATCTTGATGGGCTTCTCCAGCATGCTTGACAGCAGCCTCATCCTCTTCCTTGTACCTGACAGTCCATCCATGTGGAACACCAGGAAATATTTTCACATAGCCATTAACCTGCATAAAAACTATATCAATTAGTTTCTGAAAATCATGTTGGCATCTGGGAAATTCCTCACTTTGTAATCACGGAATCATCGTATGACAATGTATCGTACAAAGACTTCCATTTAGGTTTCTAATGAATTTCACTTTCACGGAATTGTTTTGTGCGGTGGGATTTGATAACCATTTCAATTTTCGTTTTTAGTTTTAATTTTTTGTTCTAGAGTACAAAAAAAAATGAGAGTGAGAATGGGAGTGAGGATGAGATTGGGAGAGAGGATGAGAGGGGAGGATGGGAGGGAGGAGTAACAAAAGTGAAAACAATTTCAAATAGATTTCGGTTTTTAGTTTTTATTTTCACTTTTGTTAATCCTCCCTCCCATCCTCCCTTCTCATTTTCACTCTCAATTCCATCTTCACTCTCATTCTCACTTCCATTCTCCCTCTTTTTCCTGTATACTCTAGCACAAAAAATGAAAACTAAAAACTAATATTGAAATGGTTATCAAATGGGGCCTAACTTTCTGAAACTGGAAGACCATGACAATTTATGATACAAAGACTTCCATTTAGGTGTTTTATTAATGAATTTCACTTCGAATATATTAACTTTCTGAAGTTGGGAGATGCTTACCTCAGGCTTAGTGGATAAAACCTCCTCGTACTTTTTCAGGAGTTCAGGTGGAGAGATCTTGTCAAATTCGGCACCCAATATGGCTATTGGAGCCTTAATCTCTGAAACAAAAGAAGAAAAAGAAAAAAAAACAGTAAAAGGTGTATTAGTAACTTCAAACACCAGAAGAAGCCAACAAGAGTGCAGTGCAGTAGTGCAGCCCAAGACACTAGAAGCAGAGTCTTCCTTTGGCCATATTTATCATACACAGCAGTTTAATTCTGCAGTGAAAATACATACCTTTAATATCATCAACTGTGACAAGGGAAGGGTGTAGCAACACTGCGGCTTGAATGTAATCAGACTTTGCTAGCTCCACAACCACCTTGGCTGAATAACAACCAAGAGTTATTGGTTAATTTAACAGTAATTGCACAACTAGTGAAACCTAAAAAACAAATTTCTACAGTCATATGATTCTACTCTAAAAGTGTAGTAGGAGTCTTACCACCCCAACAGAATCCTGCTGCTCCTATCTTCGATACCCCTTTGTTCCTTAGAGCAGCAATTATAGGTTTAGCATCTTCAAATCCTTTGCCCTTAAAGAAAGAGGTGGGGGAAGAAAATAGCAACACTTTTAGTACATGATTAAACTTGAGTCATGATTACACATTCAGCAAGTTTACACTTTAAAGATAAGGGAAATAAAAAAGATTCAGAAACAAACTGTTCCATGAGACTGTATCCAAACTGATACAGGCCTCTCAGCATTGTCCGGTACATAGGGATCTCCATAAAAGAAGTCTGGAACCACAACATGGAATCCAGCAGCACTAGCTATTTTGTCGGCAAGCTTCCTTTACAGAAACAGCAGTGAGTTCAAGAAAAATGAAAACATGTAATGAAAGGATGGGAAATAAATGTCAAAGCAAAGAGTAGTCCAGTTGTTAAAGCAGATTAACTCTTGTTAACAAAGCAACAAATTCACTTATCATGAGGTTTCAGAAATGGCGTAGACAAATATATGTTTCACGGACTGAGTGATAAAGGGCTTGGAAGTGCAGCATCAAATATAAAGTTTTTACACATTTGGCGGAGAATTGTCATTTCATTTGGTGAGAGGGTTTTAACAACTGTAAAACCCCCAGGGTCCATAAAATAAAACTTCTCTTATAAATGGCTGCCCCTAACTAAAACAACCCATTTCAAAAAATTTATTTTTATCTTTATGCAGACGTAGATTATCATGACCAGAGTAGGCAACAAAGAGTATCCATCAGAATTCAGTAGCTAGATAAGCTGCAGCTAATATTTTTCAAAAAGGAAGGGGATTGGGAGAAATCATGTTAGGCTTTTCATGTAAGGCGCTAAGATATCCATCATGTACCATTAACAAACGAGGATGCAGAGTTGAGAAAGTAGGCATACCTTAGGTTTGGTGCTTCAAATCCTGCAAAACAAATAAATATACTGTCAAAACTAAAAATTTCAACTCACCAAGCGGAATTGAAAAAGCTCTAAACATGTACAAAAACTTACTAAAAGAAAGTATTTGGACCAACAGAAAGAAATAACCATGTAACTGATCAACTTAGAAGTTAAGCATCAATATTATACATGTACAATAAGGACACAAAAGAAAAAGAATCCATTTTTTAGAACCTAAGCATGGAAACCATAATTTAACTACCACCCAGATCACAAAAGCAGATGAGATGTGAGACAAAAAAACCCAAATTGGTATGTGATAAACAATAGCAGCAAAAAAGAAAGAAACTTCATCAAAATTACAAAGAAAGAAAGAAAATTGGTGAAATGCGTAATTACCATATACATCAGAAATGAGAAGAATGGCCTGCTTGGAATCAGAAGGGCCAGTAACGTAGGCTTTTAACCCTCCAATTTCAGTCACTGAACCAGCTCCGGAGCTTGAGCTAAGGGTTGGTGGGTTTTCACAGCACTGAGGCCCCGACATAGCTTTACTCAGAGAAGCAGAGATTCAGAGCCACACACACAAAATCAATAAGTTAGAGAGCTCCACTGATATATTAGGAAGCTAGCAGTACTTGCCTTGGAGAACAATTTGCTTACTATCTGAATGTTACAAGCATCGAAACATTATTGAACAAGTTTTGTCCTGACTTCTCAAAGTTAGAGACTGTTTTTGTTTTTTCCCTCATGATTGATGATGACAGATTCGAGAAGAACCACGGGCACAGTAATTTTCTTTCTTTTGTGTTCACAAAGAGCCACAGGCCCAATATTTTTCTTTTTTTGTGGGTTAATAAAGAACACAGGCCCAGTTTCTTTATTTTCTTTTGGGTTCACAAAGAGCCACGGGCCCGGTATTTTTCTCTTTGGTAATTTCAGTCAATATTTAGCCCAATCCTCTTGTCTTGATTAGCTCACGCACGGGAGGAGTGTGACTTTGCTATTGCATGCTTGCTAATTTCAGAAATTCTCAAATGCGGGATGAATGTTGTGGGATGTGAGTAGTCATTCAACAGTAGCTAATTACGCAACTATCCCGCATTGCACTATAAATCAGTTTACGTAACAAGATAATGCATTCATATAACTAAATCCATAGTTAGCCTAAGTCACAAACTGCTTAGAAAATGGAAATTGATAATTCTTAATTATTTACCATGATTACGTACCAATTTCACGGGACATACATGTACTTAATAATTAGACCTAACCTACCCAAAAGGACCAGCAAGTTTGGACACATACCAGCAGAATCACATGAAGAGAGAGAGAGAGAGAGTGAAAGCAATGAATCTATGTATAAACTCCTCAACATTACAAATCTGTAAAATATTTGCATCGAAATGTTGTTTCATCCTCACAATATATTAAATTAAAATCATGTCTAAATATGCGATCATGATTCCAATTTAGAAATATAACATATGTGACAAAGTGTCATTATTGTACCGGTACATACGCTTTCATCTCCAAAAACAAATTCAGAGTTGAACAGATGCAATTGGTTCTTGAAAACAGAAGAAATAATAACACACACAAACACCTTACATTACGGTGCAAGCACTAGTGCTAGTGTTATCGTCGCTGAAATAATGGAGCATTGAGTTGCCAACAGGCGGTTCCTTTGTTCGATGATAATAAGGATAAGGATACATTTGCAATGGCGGTGGCGGTCGTGGCAGCGGTGCCATGCTTGAGTGGTGAACATTACCACCATATGCATGTGGCGGTGGTCGTGGCAGCGGTGCCATGCTCGAGTGGTGAACATTACCACCATATGCATGTGGCGGCGGTCGTGGCGGCGGTGCCATGCTCGAGTGGTGACCATAACCACCATATGCATGTGGCGGCATTGGTGGCCGTGGAGGCAGTGGAAATGCAGGCGGTGGACCTGGCGGGGGCCTTCCGTACATCCCTCGGGCCCAATTGTTTTGTGGCCCAAGAGGTTTTGGCTTGGGGAAGTTGCCCTTGCCATGGGGTGCAACAAATGGACCATTAACATTGGCTGGCTTCTTAATTTTATGTCCACTATGACCATGATGATCTCCATCAATCTGATCATCAGAATCAGAATCAGAATCAGAATTTGAATGATCATGATTATGATCATTGTGATGATCGATGATCTTTTTCGTGTCCTTGGTTTTGGGGTGGTGATGATGATTTTGAATGTTCTTCAATCGTTGTGCTCGTTTTTTCTTTTGGGCAGCACGAGGGTCCTTCTTGTAGGACACAAGCTCTGTCCTAATCTTAAGCTTTGCAATTGTCACTAAGATTGTGGCTGGATCTGCCTCACCAGAAACTGCTACCATCCCTTTTTCATAATCTATGGTGATGGAATTTACTCCTATGTATACACAAATCGAACGTACCCAAAAATCAATTGAAAATTGAAAAATTAATAGTCAAACCAATACCATTTTTATTTATTCAATTTTTTCTATATATAGTTGGTATATATGCAAATGCAAGGCACAAAAATTGAAACAGAAGAGTTAGTTTTCGTACCGTTAAGTTTCTGCAGTTTCTTCTTTATTTTGGTAGCACATCCCTTGCAACATGTAATTACCTTCTTCTTTTTTATGAACTTGGGGGGCCATAGCTTGGTGAAGTGGGGAGGCCATAGCCGAAAACCCCCCAAACAACATGTACTCACTTTCAAAATGCAAGTCTGCAAGAAAGAAGATATTAAAATTTTGTTATATTAATCGTAAAACGAAAGAGAAGGTAGCCCTAGCTAGAGAGACATACGGGACCATCAGCAGGGTGGTTCTCCATTGCAAGTGCAGTCTCTTTGATGAGAGCTTGAGATTTTGTAGGTCTCCCTCACAAGTCCAAAGCAAAGAACCCTAAAGCTATAAAGACTAGTGCTGATTAGTCGGCAAAAACTTTGGACTTGGATTTGTAAAGAAAATTGATTTGGGAGAAGATAGTGGTGACATTTATAGGTTACTTGATTAGAAGTTAGGTCAAGTATTGATTAGGAGGATCTCCATGAATTGAAAATCTTGTACCATTTTTGGTATTTTTCACTAAAATAAAAATAAAAATAAAAAAATTGTTTGCTTTTCTCGGTATTCCTACGTACTTGTTAGGAGGAATGTGAAAGTAATTTCCTTAAAAACTTAAAATGGGTGTTTGAGAATTAACTGGAAATTAGGAAAATAGAACAATCCAATTGTATATGTCGATCTTCTGATTTCATAATGCGCATGTAAAGAAAGACAACCAAATGTAGAAAAAAGTAATTACTTGATCGAAATCTTTCAAGATATTAACTAGTTTAGGTGAACCCTGTCCGAATCTTGAATTGAATATACTTAAGATTCTCGCCTTTTTAAATAACAAAGAGTACTTATAGATACTATTAGTTAGTAACAACAAATTTTATTTAAAAAAAGACTAAACCGTGAGGATTAAGGCGAGGTCGTCGAACTAAATCAGTAGCCTATTTTCTTCCCGCAAAGAGATTAGAGAGAACCTCAAAACCCTAGGCCTCCCTCCTCACCCATCAACACCACCAATACATGTTGGTTCTCCTCAAAACAAAGCATCGGAAGAAGACAATTACAGAGTGTCCATGAACTGCAAGAGAATCCAAAAACATGTCATGGTAAAAGTGCTAACAATGATATTTGGAAATAAGTAGCCAGTTGATGCTAATTTTCATACCCGCCTGTGTTCGTAGTTTATGTGATTGCAAGTGAAAACCGGTGGCTGTAAAATCTGTTGAAAACAAAGATAATTTTATCATTTAGATCAAAGTAGTTGGGAACTACTTGCAAGTTTGCAACATTTTTATAATTAATTAATCACAGCTTGGTGTTGCAAAAGGATGAAATTAAGAAACAGAACAATAGTCTTTGTTAATTTTCTTACCCCAGTTGGTTTCTTTTGGGGACGACGAGAGTCTTTGTACGCCAAAAGCATTGCTGTTTTCTTATATTTTGTCAATATTGTGTTTGTGACTGTGAGAGGATCAATATCACCATGAACTTTTATGTTCGATGTATGTGTCATCTATAAGGGCAAGAGCAGTATTGTTGAATTGAGACCGAGATCATCGTAGTTTTCCCTCACTGCCAGAGCAGTACACTTTGCGTTTGACATGTCTCACAATCCCTAGCTTGCTAGACTGCGTTAGATTATAGACTGCTGCCTGTTCTGCTAGTTAGTCGTCGAAAGTAACTAATGTTGGGAGAAGATTGTGATTCTGATGCATAATTTTGGTCCGTTAGTTATAGTCAGTCCTTGATCAAAGAAACTCTACCTTCTTGGTTCATCTCCACGCATGGTTTGGATCAGGAAGGCTGAGAATCTGGAAAACCATACCAATCACGCAACCCAAGGAGTCGTGCCTAACAGTTAATACACTTTATGTTAACATCCTTTTTATAATTATTAATACGTATTTTATGGTATAATTATACGTAATTCTGACTTGGATATTCATATATATTTTTTTAACTCATCAAAAATAAAAATCGCTTAAATATATACATAGAGAGTAGAAAACCACAATTTGTAGTTCCCCTAGAGCCTCCAAAACTAAGGACTGCCACTGTGTGGATGTAACCAGTGCTGACAAAATTACTTCTGTGATTACACGTTAATGAATATTAAATTATGACCAAGTAAAATTCACTAATATATTATTGTTTATTTTAAATTCAATTTCAATTGTAGCATATGTGGGTTAAGACAGTTGACTAAAGCATTGTTCCTTCTCTTGCACCTAAATTTCATCTCATTCCCATATATTAGAGTAATTTAAAAGAAATCATTCCCTTATCAAAAAAATCATTTCAATTCAATTGAAGTGTGTGTATAGAAATTTGGATAGCTAAGGTTCCATCCACCTAGGTTTGAGTACTTGTGACACGGACTGAGACATATGTGACTAAAAGGCTAAGGTTATATATATATATGTTGATTCTCCTCAAAACGATAATCATCCAAAGAAGTCAAAAGTTGTCGCACAAAGTTTCGAAAGCGGAAATCAGTCGCTGCAAAATCTGTTCAAACACAATGATACTTTTCTATATTAGATCAAAGCATGTGGAAACTACTTGCATATATTCTTCTTTTATAAAGCCCCTCTGAGACCGAATTTACTCCTACATATACACATATTCGAATGTTATATATACTTACTCAGTTGTACTTACTGCACGCATAATAAAGAGGTTTATTTATTAATTTTTACCATCAATTTTCTCCAACTTCCTTGTTATGCTATAAAGCAGAGAATCATCAGCTACGTTCACCTTCACGACATGATAAGTAATCTGCAACAACAAACATATTAATTCTAGAAAAAAACATTGATACGTACCATTCAGTGTTATAATATAATGAAGAATTAATAATTAAGAAGTAGCTTGATACATACGGAGTAGTTGTCGTGATGAAGACGGTGGTTCTCCATTGATGAAATTGTAGAACCCTCCTTTGGGTAAGACATAAGATCGCCATTATCATCTATAAGGGCAAGGGCATTGTTGTAGAATCTTAAACCCTTTCCTTTCTTGTTCCTTAACTAGGGAAACCGCTACTTCTTAGGAATCTTAAACCCTTTCCCTTCTTGGTGTGCATGCTTAAGTTAAGAATAGACGGCAACTAATAAGGAAAGTGAAGGGGAATCTCATATGCGAATTTTAGATTTGCATACCATTAACTAATATTCTTGGTGAAGTGAAGTAATTTGACAGTGGACACAAAACCAATTTTGTCAGAGTCGAGAAATTATATGCCTCGAATCTACTCCTTTTTTATTCCAAAAACGTGAGAAATCAAGCCATTCAAAATGCCATAAAGTCGAAACCTCACATCATTAAACAGGTAACAAACCTCAATGAAGCAAAACAACTTCCCAGTACAATTTACGTTTCTTTTTCGTAATGAAGTAGTTAATATCCATATGCAAAAACACTTCTTGTCTTTGAATCTGATATCAATAGATACACGAAACGAGAATAATTATAGCTGCAGGTTTCGCGTCTTTTTGGAACAGTGAACTTCCCATCAAGAAACGTTTGAATTAATTTGTAAGTAAAACTATTTATCTGTTTGTCTTCAAATCTATGCATGCAACCAGTGCTGATAAAATTACTTCTGTGATTTTAGACGTTTCTGAATATTAAATTATGACCACTGCTAAAATATGAAAACTATGAGAGAATATTTGTTTGTGGGAATTTTCTATGTATTCTTCTCCTTGTAGGAGGTCATATTTATAATACAACAAAACCTGAATGGGCAAGTAAATAATAAATTCCTAAATCTATTTACAGTAGGAAATCAGGAATTAAAGTAAATCAATTACAAATAAAATAGGAATCCTTGGTGTGTAAGGAAAGTAAGTCAATATCCACAAGTCACGCCAACACTCCCCCTCACGTTGGTGCATAGATGTCGCCAATGCCCAACTGATCCAGTGAATTGTGGAATGCTTTACTGGAAATCGCCTTTGTCAAAATATCCGCCAATTGATCCTCGGATTTCACAAAAGGAAACTGAAACACTTTAGCCTCAAGCTTCTGTTTGATGAAGTGTCGATCCACCTCAACATGTTTAGTACGATCATGCTGAACTGGATTCTGTGCAATGGCTATAGCAGCCTTGTTGTCACAAAAGAGATTCATTGTAGATGTAGGTTTATACCCAAGTTCAGTAAGCAACTTTCTTAACCAAAGAAGTTCACAAATCCCTTTAGTCATGCCTCTGAACTCGGCTTCTGCACTGGATAAAGCTACTACATTCTGTTTCTTGCTCCTCCATGTCACCAAATTACCTCCCACAAATGTGAAGTAACCCGATGTGGATTTTCTATCTGTTACATTACCTGCCCAATCTGCATCTGAATAACCATCAATATTTAGATGACCATGCTTTGAGAACATAAGTCCTTTTCCAGGCGCAGACTTCAAATATCTAAGTATCCGAAGAACTGCATTCATGTGGTCTTCACTTGGAGAGTGCATAAATTGACTGACAACGCTCACTGCATAAGCAATGTCTGGTCGAGTATGTGACAAATAGATCAATCTTCCCACTAACCTTTGGTATCTTTCTTTGTTAGTTGGAACTTGATTCGGATATTCTCCAAGATGATGATTCTGAACAATAGGAGTGTCCGCAGGTTTGCAATCTAGCATTCCTGTGTCTGTCAACAAGTCCAAGACATATTTCCTTTGAGAGAGAAATATGCCTCGCTGCGATCGAGCCACCTCAATTCCCAAGAAATACTTGAGTCCACCTAGATCCTTCATCTCAAACTCAGTAGCCAAATAGTCTTGTAGCTGTGATATTTCCTGTTTATCATTCCCAGTAATAATCATATCATCAACATAAATTATTAATGCTGTTACCTTCCCTTTCCGATGTTTCAAGAACAAAGTATGATCTGAGTTGCACTGTTTGAAACCATTGTTCTTCATTGCCATGGTGAACCGTCCAAACCATGCACGTGGTGACTGTTTCAACCCATACAATGCTTTTCCTAGCCTGCAAACTGTTCCAGTCTGAGTAGTATTATAACCAGGAGGAATGTCCATGTACACCTCCTCCGTGAGTTCGCCATGTAGAAAAGCATTCTTTACATCAAACTGGTGTAGTGGCCAATCCAAATTAGCT